CATACCACCTTTAAGGCTATCCTCTTCTCTCCCTTTTTAATGTTCCTGCTTGGCCCCTGCAGGCATTACATTTAAGATCCCTGTTCTAGGCATTCCCAGCAACTCATTCTTGATAGTTCTCCTTCCACATGGTATCTGACTTCCTTCTTACCCGCAGAGCACCTAGCTTGGTGTGAAGTACATCCTTGGCTCTCAAAATACACATAATTGAACAGTGAGTTATTTCTACAAGTCACCTCCCCTTCACACTTTCTGTCAAGCTAGGGATGGATTCTTGCTGAAGTTGTACAACCAACAGCCTGGATGTCACATTGCCAAGTGGCCATGTTAAACAAAACACTGACTTCATTTCTTCAGCTAATTCTAGTGTCTCTTAAACTTAAGTGAATCAGCGTATCTTAAGGCTGATGACGAATTGTAAAAAAAAAAAAAGGACAATTAGTGAAATTTGAACACTAAGTGAATATTTGATGATCGTAAGGAATTATTGTTAACTGTTAGGTTTGGTAATAGTATACGAATTATGTTTTGAAAAAGTGTACGAGAGGGAAGTGAATGGGAATGTAGTTAAAAAGGTTGGCCAAGAGTTAATAATGGTTATAGTTAGGTGACGAATATGTGGATGTTTGTTATACTATTCCCTCTCCTTTTGTTTATGTTTGAGATTTTCTATAATAAAAAGAAGAGCTGGCAAATAAGATGCTGGCATTTAAGTAAAAATTTAAAACACAAATTGTATACACATAATGTATATACAAAATCATGGCGGGAGCACGTCAATTTTATGATTATGGTTGTTTCTGGGGTAACTTCTGGAACAGAAAGAAAGGATGGGATTGTGAAGGGGTACAAAGAGCTTTCAATTAGACCTGTAATGTTTTATTTCCTAAAAAACAAATCTGTAGCAAATATGGCAAATGTTAACATTTGGTGGGCACATGTTAACCTATGGAGATGTAAAATCTGCTAGATACATTATTCTCATAATATAAAGTTGGCTCAAATATTTAAAATGATTTTTCCTATCTACCTTTCACTTTGAAACAAAACTCGCTAAATGTCAAACAGCAAGAACTACCTAAGGCCCCAAATATAAAAATGTGGTTCAGTAAATCCTGATGGGAAAATTACTTAAGTTTCTCCTACTTCACTTTTTGCCGGAATTATTGGCAAAATAAAGGAAATGCTTTCCTAGAGAAAAAAAAAAAGTTGGTTCTTTAAATCTTAAAACTGAAAATGCACCACTGCCTTGATGCATTTTAAATACTCTACCAAGAAAGAGAAAGGAGGAACGAAGGAGCATTAGCTTAAGTGACATTAAAGAAAATGAGGGGGAGATGGAAATTCTGCCCAATAATTCCAGAAGCAAAGGATTTGGTGGGATAGACACACTGTCTCTTCATGGCTGATGAAAAAAAGGAAATTGCTAACTTTTTAAAATTATGGAAGAGTCAGATGCAGCACACAAACAAGGTGAAGACAGAAATAGTGGAGTTTCTGAAAAATCAACATCAAGAACAAGGAGTCCTACTCAACCCTGTGCAGTAACAAAGTAGGGTGCCCCACCCCATCCTTTATTTAGGGACATGGTTGTTACTGTGATAGAGATATTCAGTCATTCATCCACCCACCCACCCATCAACGCAATGAAAAAACATTTATTGAGTACTCAGTGGTGCCAGAACCTATGTACTCTGTGTGTGGAGGGAGGTGGGAAAGGGGAAAGTAATGAAAAATGAAGGGATGCCATCTTTTCCCACAAGGATTTAATAGTGTAGTGAGTGAGTGAAACAAACAAAATCCTCCCCAAAATGATTTGCCTTATTGAACTCAACCTCTTGCTTTTCAAGGCAGAAGCCATACCCCTGAAGAGGAGAGCTAACAACAAAAAAGCACCTTTTTATGAAAAAAGTGAGGAACCTGGAATCCAATTTCAATTTGAGTCTTGGCTCTTCAACTCACAAACCTGGGGGTTTGAATACTGTTATTTAACCTCTCCAAGCTTCACTTTCCTGCATAAACTGAGGATAATCATTCCCATCTACCTACCAGATCTGAAGCTTAACACAGATGATGCAAACGAAAGGACCTTGCATTTGCCTAAGGCCCCAGAGGGCTGGGTCAACAGAGCAAATCTGACAGTCAGCTTAGGACAGAGGGAACTGGCAGTTTTGCCTCAATGGAGGGACTTAGAAGGAGCACAGAAAAGGTATCAACCAACTTCGGTGGGATCAAACCTTTAGGGGAAAGAAATGCCGTTGTTTTACAATTGTCTCCCTCCGCCCAAAATAAGAGCAATATTTAGATTCTTTCCATTTGTCACGATTGATGCCTTGGCGTGGGGGAATGGAATAACGGATAAAAGCACTGGATTTAGTGCGACCTTGGGCTCACTTTACCTTTTCGCGCTTGTTTTCTCATTTGTAAAACGAGGATCAAACGTCCTGCCTTAACTATCCACCCAGTTTTTGTGAGGATCCAACTCGAAGGTACGAGTATGTGAAAGCCCTCCCTAAGCGCTAGAGCGCCTGGCAAATATCATGTAGGTAATTCCACCACCCCCCACCCCACCCCCAGCAACTAGGCGTTCCAAAGAGGAAGGTACCTCCCTGCTTGCTTTGTTACTCTTCTTTTTCTCGACCTTTACTATCGCTGTAACTTATAATCACAGAAATAACTGAAATTTGATGGCCATTTCTGACACCACATTCTCGGGCCCTACCCAGATACACCGCCAAGCCACCCGGCCAGCTCCGGACAGAAGGAAACAGCACTACTCCACCCGCGGGGGAGCACTAGCCCATCAGGCCCTACCACTAAGAGTTCCGGAAGCCAATCCCCACAGTCCTCTTGCACCGTTCCTCCCCTTAAAGAGGTGAAACGCTATGGCGGCCCGGAAAAACGGCAAGGGCGCAAGCCAATCACTGTAGAGGGCAGTCCTCATCAGGCACGGCTCAGAGGCGGGGTCATCGGTCAAGACGGACAGCCAGAGCAGCCAATAGAATTATCGGAAACTGGGGAGGGGTGGGTGCCGGGCGCTCATACAGCGGTTAAGGCCCCTCGAGCCAAGGGCCCAAAGACCCGGCTCGGACTACAGCTCTTCCCTTCATCCACTCCCAAGTTCTCCATCCCATGGTTGCTGGCCGGCCGCCCTGCCTGCGGACTATGGGTGGAGAAAGGACGGAGGCAGCGGCGGCTGAACCCGCCTGACAGGCCGGACCAGTGACAAAGAGCCGGCGGCGCAGGCTTGAAAGCCGGAAAGCGATCCCTTCGGGGAGGAGAGCATAAGTCCCTTTAGAGATAGGGAAGACGAAACTCACGTTGTCGATCACAACAGGCTGGTTGGCGATCACATCGTAGGACTCCATGGCAAAGGAATCTCTCCTTCCGAGGAAGGAACTGCCTGCCGGGTCCGCTCCTAGCGCCACTGACACGCATGCGCAGTCTAGCCGCTGGTGCAGGGCGGCCAGGGAGCGGCCCGACCTCGCCTCCGAAGAACTACAACCCCCAGCATGGCTTGCACCTTCAGTTAGAGGGCAAGGCAGCTTCGGAGCCCCACCTAGTTTAAGAGACCGGGCGTTGCGTTTCCGACGCGCAGTACCCTGGGCTTTGTAGTTTCCATAGATATAAATAGACGGGGATTCAGATTGATGGTTGTATTGCTCGCTTGGTTCTGTAAGGATCCCGTTGGAGGGATTCGCAGCTCATACTGAAGTATTTGTCTGTAATTTGCTTTGGATTGGTCAGTAATTCGTAGATGTTTGGATTTGACAGATCAGTCCTGCCACTCCCTACCACTTCCGGACAATATTAAGGCTACCATGTTTTTATTTGGGTCCACAAGACATTAATAAACATCTATCACCACCACACTCTAATAAAATAAATTTAATACACACATACGGGGAAGTACATATTTCCAGAACAAAGGAAAATAAATTGCATAAAATTTGCTATTTAGAAAAAAAAGTACATTTTCATTGCTTTTTGCATTTTTTCTGGATAGGTGTAAACTTTGCAACAGGCTAACATCGGTCTGAAGACTGGCATTTGGAATTATTGGTATAGAATTGACATTGCTGAGTGAGAAAATAGAGGTGAAAAGTCGCTGCTTTCAAGTGATCTCAGTGCATTTTTCTCTAGATTATTTCCACCGCTGCTTCAAGTTGCTGGGATGCTTTTAGTCAATAGCATTGCTGGCCAGGACTCCTTTCTATTCGTCTCTTGGAATTTCTTCAAGATTATTGAATGGGAGACATTACTTTTTGAAAAGTTATAGTAAACAGGAAAATAATTTCCAACCCGGTGCCTTAGGAATTAAAAATTCTCCCAGTTACAGAGAGTCAGAGTAATGGGGAAGGGCGGGCCCATAGTAGATAATGAATATTGGTGTTTCTCAAGACAATCTGCATATCTCTGCCTAAAACACAACAAAGAAGAGATTGTCATCATCACTAAAAACATTTATTAAATAATTACCAAGTCTCTTTAATTGATCCTAGTTTGCCTAACTCTTGTTACTTTCTGTCAGAACTCCAAAATAGGTATTTTGACATACGACCCCTGAGTTTGGCAGTGTTAGTGTCAGTCAATACGGTTAGTGGACATTCAAGGGTGTAGGAAACATTCAGATTTATAATCTATTTAAACTAGTGCCATATGGAGGAATGAATCAATCCATTGATAAACTTATGCTTAAATCCTTGTTAGCAGCATGTCAGCCGACCAGTGACAAGACCTTTGTCAGCGCACTTCCCAGTGCTTACGTGGGACCCTAGCACCTCAGAAGGAAGCCTCCACATCTGTATTTAAACCTGGGTTCCTCCTAACACTAGGGGGAGGCCAAGAGCCTTGAGACACCACTAACACAGGGAGAGGGAGGCGGGACCTATTGTCAAGGCATGCAGTCACCTGTGACTGACGCAGACATTAGCCAATAGAATCGGGGATAGGGCGCGCCGGTGCCCCGCCTCCTTGAGCGCCCAGCGGCCCCCCAGGCAACCTCTGGCTGTCTCTGCCGCGGCGACGGCCTGGGCGGACGGTGCGCCGTGCGCAGGCGCGGAGCCCAGACCTCGCTGCAGCCCCCATAGCCTAGGGGAGTCGCACCCACAGGGTCCGCCCGCTGGCGCGTCAGTGCTCTCCCGCTCGTCTGCCCTCCCGGGTTCTCCCAGCGCCCTACGCGCCCGGATGGCGGAGCTGCGGCCTAGCGGCGCCCCCGGCCCCACTGCGCCCCCGGCCCCTGGCCCGACTGCACCGCCGGCCTTCGCCTCGCTCTTCCCTCCGGGACTGCACGCCATCTACGGAGAGTGCCGTCGCCTTTACCCTGACCAGCCGAACCCGCTCCAGGTTACAGCTATCGTCAAGTACTGGTATGCCCTGGGCCGCGCGAGGAGACCAACGGGGCAGGCTGGGCAGGGTTAAAGCACCGGGGGCGAAGTAATTTTCGGAGGAGGAGGAGAAGAATGGTTAAAGCACTTGGAAGAAGGGCTTCCTGCTGCGAGGGAAGGAGTTGTAAATGGGGACAAAGGGGTTAACGGAGTCTTGGGTAGCGAAGGGTTAACGAGGGTGGGGAGGTTGAAGGGTTAACTGGGATTAGGAGAAGAGAGTGAATTGGGAGTGTGTGTAGGAGCTGAGCGGAGAAAGATAGGAGAGTGGGAACTGTAGACGTGGTGAAAGGAGGGGGCGCCTGTAGGGGGTCATTAGTGGGCGAGGGGAAACCAAGGGGGGGGGCGGCTGAAGTGAGATGGGGGAGGCGAGGCGGGGCCTGGGGAGCAAATGAGAGGGCTTTGGAGGAGCGAGGCTGGAGGAGCTCCGAGGGCATGAGACTGCACAGCGTAGGGGCAGGTCTGGGGACCCGGGCTCTCCTGCGGGTTAGAGGGGGGCAAGTTGTGCACGTTATGCTTGTGAAGAGATGAGGAGGAGGTCTCCTTTTGATACTTGCCCAATGAGCTCAGACATCATATCAGTGCCATGCTTTTGTGTTTGAAGTTTCACGGAGCAACTTTTCCTGATAAACTTTCTGCTTACTCTGCACAGTTTTTTTTTCATGCAGAGCTTCCTCTGTCTCTGCAGCTGCTTTGCTTTAAGACATTAGCTAGAATAGAGGTAGGGTCAGGGAGATCCATGGTTTGGCTGAGGATGGAAGGGGACCACAGTAAATGCTAATGACCTGGGACTTGGACAGGGAGGAAAGAAGGCAGTGAAATGTTGAGGAGCTTCCTGGCCACAAGCTTCAGGATTTAGGAAGCCGTTTCTCGGGGAAGCTGAGTAACCCTCAAGTAGCTTTGTTAAATCAGACCTGTTTACAGATGGGCTGCTGTTGGGGTAGAAATGGTCTTTTCCAGTTTCTCATTCCTGTTTGCAACCCATTTCTTCTTGCAGCCTCTCGGCAAAACTGGTGTTACAGGGACTGTGGAAAAGAGCCTGTCTTCATGGTCTTTCTGGACCAAAAGTTGACTGAGGAATTGATTGAATCTGTTAAGAACCACATTCATGCAGGCACTGTATTAGATACTGCCTTCATTGAGTCCTGAAACACTGTTCAGGCAGCTGCTTGTGATGTGGCCAAAGGGGCAGGTAGATCCAAAGAGGGAAGTGCAAAGAGTGGATGTCTCCTCTGGAGATGGCAGAAGCTAGGCTATAGGACTGAGGGCAGCTAGCTCCCTGTGTCGAAGGGAGCATGTAAAGAGACTGACAGTGTGGAGGGCCTGGGGACCAGCCATCTGCTCTTTAGGGAGGCCATGGGGAGCAGCCTGCCTCTGTCTGGTAGCCAGGAGGAGGTGTGGCCAGCGGTACAGTTCTCTCTGGCAAGCAAACTGTTCTTTGGTTGAGAGGAGTTTTTGAAGAGTGCTTCTGAGTGCTTATAGTAGCTCTTGATGACTTAATTACCCATTCTAATTGCACCTTCGTATTTAAATATGATTTGTGATGAACTATATTGGATCGTGTCATGAGAAAAGTGGGCCTGGCTCTGCCATGCTGTTTGTTCAGGCCTCATTTGAGTGTAAGGAGAAATCCATTCACAGACTTGAGCAGCTGTTTTTATGTCACCCAAGTGGCCATGAGGATAGAGTTGTGTGGAAAAGGTACTGAAGCACATGCAAAGGACTAAGACTGGTTTGGGCAACTGTTTTTTTTTTTTTTCTTCCCCCTGCAAGCTTGTTAACCAGGCAGGGCTTATCTTTGAGATGGACTAACATGTAATGACGAATGACGACGATTGTACAGCACTCTGTGAAACTAGAAATGCTGCCTAGATGCAGAAAAATGTAAGAGGGAACTGGCTCTTTCTAAGATTTGGACGGGTTTGCATAGTTAAGATCCTGAAATTAATTCATCGATATCCCTCATGTTTGAGATACCACAAGGCCTCTTCAGTTCTCATGGCAGGATGATCAACCCAGGCTGCCTGAGTCTGGCTGTGGTCTAGGGTACCTTGGTATTCCTTTCATTGTGACAGTCGGGTGGCTCTTAGGGTAGTGGACTAGCTAGCAAGGAATCCTGACTGAAAGCTGAGACTTTAGTGAGCAGGGAGTGGAAGCAGAGGGGCAGAGCCTATACCTTGAGGCCACTCCAGTCCTGCAACTGCCCTGGGGAGGGAAGTCAGATGTTCAAGGTATGAAGTTGAGAGACGCTCTGGGTCCTTGAATAACACATTTTTCTAAGTGCAAACTATGATTATTTTCTATGTACTCATCTACTTCCCATCATGTCTCCAAGTAAGTAGAACAGGACACTCTGCACTTGGGAACTAGGATCTTTTTGTCTGACTCTTGGTCATTCCCTGCAGTTGGAGTTTTAAGGTAAAGCCTCTCTCCTTGATGCAGTACCTCCTTGGACACTTGGCCAGAAAGGGCTGCAGTGGTGTGGCAGATGGAGCACAGAACAGGGAATGCAGTTTTGCCACTTGTTGCTGGATGGACCGAGGCTGAAGGAGGGGCAGGACTGGGAATATTCAGTAGGAAACTGGAGCAGATATGGAGCCTGTCGTCACTGCCATCTGTTCTGGGGTTCTGCAGCTATCATGGGGTCCTTCCAGGGATAGCTACCCTTGTCTTTCCTCCCTCCCCCGACAAACCTTCCTAAATCCGACTGGTTGTGGGATTAGTCGATTGATTTGGCAAAATCCAAGTTAAAGAAAGGCATGGGGGTTTGTCCCTAAGCTATTTGTAGCGACTTTCTTTCAAGTTCTATAAATAACAGCTTTCCTAGCAGAGAATAAGGATTTCTACAAAGGCAAATAATATCCTAGCAAAAGAGGATGAAACCAGACCTACTGGTTTTAAATAGTGTTTAAATTGTGTGGCACTGGCATGCTTGCTGGGATCACACGTAACACATCTTTTATTTGGTTGTTCGCGTTCCTTCAGCATATGATCCCAATTGCAAAGCGCACTCCATCAATGTCCCAAGGGCAGGCAAAGTTTTTGCAGCCTGTGGAACAGTCAGATGTCCAAGGCAGCTCAAATGCAGAGTGTTTGTGGGCTAAATGCAGACTTCCTTCCGCTGATGGTTTCCATTTCGTCTGTTTCTCAAATTTACCAAACTTCCCTATCCATTCTGAAGAAAAGCAGGATTTTTTGAAAGAGCGCTAATTACTTTACTAAAGGGAACCCTTATTGAATTAAATCCTTAGAGTGAGATAATGACTAAATCTCTATGTTAGAATTATGGGGGAAGTTTAATATGGTCCTGAGAGGCCCCAAATCATTTCGTGTTCCAGCTCTACCTTCGAGGCTGCAGTCTCCGGGGGATCTCCTCTTGCAGATAGATGCAGGCCCTCACAGGATTCTGCAGTTATCTGTGCAGAGCTGAGCCAGCCTAAATTTGGCCTTTGTCACTTGCATGATAAAAGACCAGCTTTGCTTTGTGGGGTGTGGGTAGGGGTCTGGAGGCATTGGGTTTGTTTAGAACAAACTGTAATTAACATAGGGCACAATATAGTCTTTCAGGAATTAGCTGTCTAAGAGGCGGGAGTGGAGTTGAGCCTCTTCTTCCAGGAACAATGCCCTTTGGGGGTGCTCAGGATGGCCTTTCTACAGAGGCCAATTGGATTGACTGATGCACCTCTTGCCTTGACATGTGGAATGTTTATAGGCACCAAGGAAGAGAGATAATCCCTGTCAACCCCATTTAGGATTGGTAATTTGAAACAGGAGGAAGCAAAGGGGGCAACCACCCAGTCTGTTTTATTTCTAAAAGAGGTCCTACCTGTTGAGGATAGGAGAAAGGAGTCTGTTGTGCTTGTGGAATTGGGCAGCCTCCAGTTGCCCGTGCTTTGGTCTTATCCCAAAGAGGTGTGACCTCCCTTCAGAATGGGGCCTTTAGGTTTGTAAGGCAGAGCCCCTTTGCTTCACACTGTCTGCTTTCAAGCTCACACTGACAACCCTGTGTTTTGTCTTTTGCAGGTTGGGAGGCCCCGATCCCTTGGATTATGTTAGCATGTACAGGAACGTGGGGAGCCCTTCTGCCAACATCCCCGAGCACTGGCACTACATCAGCTTCGGCCTGAGCGATCTCTATGGCGACAGCAGAGTCCATGAGTGAGTGTGTGCCACTTGCCCACCTTCCATGTGTCCATTCCTTAGCCTTGAGCCTTATTTCTGAGGTTTTCCTCAGCAGAGGTGATAATGTCTTAGTCCTGTGTGGTTGGCACTTCTCAGGTGGAGCGTCTGGGTTTCTGTCCTCTGCCTGTATCTACTCGTGCTGAGGTGGTCCATGTCAGCACCCGCGCTCTGCTCAGCTGGTGTGGAAAAGTGTCTTTGATGAGCGAGAGTTCCAGAACTCTCAGGTTTGTCCAAGCTTGCTCTGGTGTTTGAGCTCAGAGGTCAGGCAGCATAGCTATGATCCAGACCTTGTGTTGATGACTTTCAGTTTACTTTTTTTCCCTCTAGCTTATTAAGAAAAATTTTAAGTATAAAGTAATATTGAAAGAATTTTATAGTGAACACTCATCTACCCATACCTAGATTCTACCATTAACATTTTACTCTGCTTGCTTTATCACGAATATATCCATCTCTATCCCTCTGTCCATCATACCTACTTCCTCTTAATGTGCAGTTAGTGATCTGTGCTCAGATTAGCCACAGTACATTTTCTTATCCTAGTCTGTCTTTTGCTGCCCTGTACACTTCTAAATCCTACTTGCCTCCCCTACTTCCATCTATAATCATCAAATTTAAACACATTTGAATATTAAAGTAAATGTAATCAACCTACTATTGAATTAGCTAAAACAGCAGCAACAGTAATAATAATAAAAGCTAACATTTGTTAAGCATTGATTATGAGCCAGGCATTCTTCTAATCACATTATATGTATATATATTAATTAACTTTATTTTTAGCACAACTGTATGATGTTGGTAGGTACTAATATTTGTCCCAATTTACAGATGAGGAAACTGAGACACAAAGAGATTCTATAACTTGCTTCAGGTCACACAGCTTTGAATTGGTGGAGCCAGGGTTCTAATGCAGGCAGCCCAGCTCTAGAGTCCATACTCTTATGACTACGCTCTAGTGCCTCTTAAACAATTATATCACATACTCTAATAAGCTACTATCTATAATTTTAAAAAACTATTTTTCCATCTGTACTTTTTTGAGGAAGGGATTCTTTTCTTCAATTTAAATGCCATCTTTTCTCTCTCTCATTAGCATGGTTAATCAAGAACTGATTCTATTTCTATTATCATATCCTCTTCTGTTTTTGCTTTTCACTCTTTTTTGCCTCTTGCACACATCCTTTCGGTATCTTCATGTTTGCTGCTTAGTGTGTGTAGGTTGAAAGTAGCAGGGCTTTTTCTGCCCTGCCTTAGCATAAGAGACTGGTTCTGGAGATGATGACATGAAGATGAAGAAGATACATTTATTTATTTATTTATTTATTTATTTATTTATTCGTTCATTCATTCATTTATTCATTCATTCATTTATTTATTTGCTTTGATTTTAGTTCTTACTGTCTTCCATATTATTGTATCAAATGCTTTACAATCTTATCAGATTTTATTGTTATCTCCATTTTATAGAGGAGGAAACTGAGTCCTTTGAGGGGTTAAATGGATTGCCTGAAGTCACACATCTAGGCTGTATAAAAGAGTTATGATTGAATTGAACTTTCTGAGTCTAGAGTCTGAGCTCTTTTTTTTTTTAAAAGATTTTCTTGGGGAATTGGGGGAGGAGAACAGCGTTGGAGAATCAGGGAAGGGGAACGGACAGGTAGACAAATTGCTGTTTTGTTCTTCAGTCTAGTTGTGGAGGGCGTCACTTCATTTTCCCATGTTGGTATTATCATTGTGCTCTTCCTGGGTGAGGCAATCGGTCGCCGGTCATTGGTTGACCGCTCATGGTGGCTCATGGTGGCTCACGGCAGCTCTTGCCCGCTGCCGGCCGCTCATGCTGGCTGCCAGACACTCACGTAGCTCACAGCAGCCCACTGCAGCCCCGCTGCAGCCTACGCTGTTGCCGGCGACTCACAGCAGCCCAGCTCCAGGGTGAGCTGTTGTTCATCATCTTAGCTGTAGAGGGTGCAGCGTCACTGGCCCTCAATGTGGGATCCGAACGGCTGCCCTGCTGCTCAGAGCTGGCGGCGAGCTCTTAACCAGCTGAGCCACTTGGCTGGCCCGGGAGTCTGAGCACTTAACCATTGGGCTATACCACCTCCCTGATCAAAGGCGCAACCCAACTTCCTCTTTTCCTCTTATTAAGCTCAGAGGACTAGGCCTCATCTCCTCACTGATTATGTGTCAGGAGTAATGCCTGGGCTTGCCTTTACAGCCTTCTAAATGGATCCATTGCAATGTCAGCAGAAGGCTTTGGGAACAGGGAATTAATCTTGCCTGAACGGGGATCCTGCCTTACAGTATTAATAATGGAGACAGAATAGCAAACAGATGCAGGGAGTAAAGGGACTATGCTGGATTTTAATTTATATTCTTAATAAGAAACTGCAGAAGGTATTTAGTGCAGCTAGCCTGTACGTTTTTGTTGACAGATTTATAATAGTTAAAAGAATACCATTTCCTATGTGGCTTAAAGATTCTTACAGTTTACTTGCTTATCAGGTATGGATCCAAGGTCCAAAATGATATGAAGAACACTACTGAGAAAGCCCCGTATTTCAAAAGGGACAACCTCAGTTTGAAAGAGAGCCTTTCTTACTGTTTTTCCTAGTTTACTGGTACCTCTGTACATGTGTGTCATTTCTATATTTCTAAAGCACTTTGATATTTATATGTCACTGACAACACTAGTGAGACCTCCATTTGGGCTTTCTCCTCACCATTCAGGTCTAGTGTTTTCTGGTATTATATCCTGTCACTAGAATGACATGGGTGGAATGTTCTTGGATATTTACCCAGTTCTGGTCTATATTGCAGAAGTCAAAATTACCTTTGTAATTGGCCTTGTGCTGGTGTGACTGGTCTCTTCTCGATCCTGGTAAGTTTCTTGAAGAAAAAGTTTGCTTTTCCAATCATCTCATGTGATGAGGCCTCTTTGAAACAGATTCATAGATTCTCATTTAATTTAGTGCTCAAAGCTGAGGTCAGAAAGGTGAGTGTTCTGCCTTCCAGCTGAAGTGCTCAGACGTGTTAAATTGGAATTATGGCAAATAAATCTCTGGCAACATTCTTCTTCCATTGTGTTTTGTCTTCTCATTCAGTGGGAAAAGGGCAGAAGCATTGGTTCACTTATTTAACTTACTTTTGCCAAGCACCTATATTGTACCAGGCATAGAACATCATAATAGGTGTCTTGGGAATAAAATGCAAGACATAATTCCTGTCTCAAGGAGCTCATGTTCTCGAGGGGAGATGAACGTAAAGAGATGGGTAATTATTACTGGGTAATAAATGCTACAATCCATGGATGTAGAACGTGTTCTGGGAGCATAGTGGAGTGAGTGATTGTTAGGCTGCTGGACCTGAAGAAGCTCCAGGGAGGAGGTGGAGTTTGAGAGGAACCTTGTAGGCAGGGGCCTGGGGTGAGATCTGCAGCCTGACACTCTAGGTCACCAACATTCACTTTTAGGAGTGAGAGGCTTTAAAAATCTTCTAGCCCAGTATTGCCAAAACTTCTAGTGCTGCCTTCATAATTTTTGCCACCTGTAGGATATTATCTTCTTTTTTTTTTAACGAAAGTATACCTATCTTTTTTTTTTTTTTT